CTGGCGGAGCAGGAAACCAAAGTATAAGGAAATTGCTAAAGTTAATGGGATAATCAATAGAGTAACTAAAAAGGACAAGGGGCAATATAAGTGAACTAATTTATCATCTATCATAGAAGAAAATCAATAGTTAATATCAAAAGTTGAGAAATCAATAAGCAGTATAGGTATACCAGTTAGAGTTATAAAAGTAACACTAAAACTACAAAAAGGAAAGAAAAAGAGGTAAAAGCAATTTATTTGGTAAGAGGTGATGAGAAAAAACACTATTTTTTTGTTAATAGTTCTATAATACTGTGTTTAACTTTTTCAACTTTTTAAGTTAAGAAAGTGTCACTGAAAAAAGTCTATTCACAAAACCAGCTAAAACCATAAAAATGAACCTACCAAGAAATGTGAACAACCTACATGAAGAAAGGTCTAAATCTTAACTGACAAAAGAGAAGGACCTAAAAGAAGACCTAAAACATGATGAATTCTACTATGTTCCTGAAAGGGGGAATCAATGTCTTTAAGTTGACAGTTCTCCTGAGTTAATCCATAAATGCAATGTAATGCCAATCAAAATCCCAACTAAGTGACTTTTGGAGCTGGACAGGCAGTTCTAAAATTTATCTGGAATACAAAATATATGAAAAGAGTCAAATATTTTTGACTAAGAATCATGAGGGAGAACTTGCCCTCACAGAGAGTTCAGAAATAAACGACTAGCTCTGTAGAACAGACTAAAGTGCACAGCATTACGGGCATCACCTTCTTCATTAAACAGGGCAACAGCCATATTCCACAACATGAAACACCAAGAAATGGCCACTGACCTTCCTGCCCTAATGTTATATTTGGACTGATTATGCAAGCAATATGACAACATTCAAACCAAATTCCTACAACCTAGTAAAGGTTGAGGTGGGATTCTCTAACTTCTTGGAGAGATCATCTTTTGTTTGCCATAAAAGAACAGGGATACTCATAATTAGGCACAATTCTATCTAGTGGACAAGAGGCCACAACCTTAGTAAAAACAGAAATGTTAAATTTCTTATCAGGCAATGACTTTCTTGTAACTAATTTATCCCAAACACAAGGCAGTGACTGAATAACAAGTGTATGCAGAAAAAGCAGCAGTATGAATTCTACAGCATCTTTGATCAGAGGCAAAGGACACCAATGTGGACTTGAGAGCCTAACATTTTCTCATGAAAGATCATCTTATCTAAGAAACTTGAATAGAGACCACTGTTTCCTCTCCTACTTACTATTTACTGCAACAGCCTTCTGGTCTCCAGTGCTCCAGCCTCACTCCTTCCACCATCAGTCTCCAAACTGTTGTCAGAGAGATCTTTCTAAAACTCCAATCTGATTAATCTCTCCCCAGTTTAAAACCTTCTGTTGCCTTTTTTCTTTTTTTTTTTTTTCTTGTCATTAATATCTAAATTTCTTAGCCTGGATTACCAGGACTTTACTACAACACCTGGTCCTTGCTACTTCTTCAGCTTCAACCCTTGCTTATCTATCTGACATCATCCTCATTATACTTCGAGATTCAGTTCAAATGTTACCTCTAGAAATCCTTTGCAGACTTATCCAAACCCAGGTACCACTGGAATGTTCCTCTACTACGGTATTACTGTTATTAAAGTAATATAAGCATGTCTGTGCACTATACCAGGAGTTACTATAAGAGAGGTAAATTCTTTTATCCATCTTCATATCCCCAACCAGCACCTTGCAGTTTAAAGCACTCAGTCTATCTCTATTAATTATACCCATTAATGATTAGCAGTTGAGAATTCTACAAGAAGCTCTCCATTTTCCTTCCCTAAAAAAAAAAAAAAAAAAAAGCCTTGTACAAAGGATTCAAATGACATAGCATGAGCAAAATCACAAATATCTAAATGTAGCAACTTCTAAAAGAAAAAAATCTGTACGATTGAGAAGGGTAGATAAAGGTCTCATGATCTCGGAATTGGATGGCTCAATTCCAGCCACAGATCTATTTCACGTCTTCAAGAAAATTATGCAGTCTCCCTATGACTATTTTTTCTTCTTATAAAAGAAGGAGATTGCTATGGTTTCTTCCGGCTCTAGAAATCTAGGACTCGCTCTTATGTTGACATCTGCCCTTCCATCAGGCATTCATACACAGCATGCACACTGCCGGCATGTAGGCTATACTAGGCCAAGGGGGAAATTAGTACCAGATGGTACCAAAGTTCTAGGTCAAAGTGTTTTTACTGGCATCCCAGAACAAATACAATTTATTTTCATTAAAGTATATGAAATATACATTATCCTTATTTGTATGACTGTACCATCTTACATTTCTGTGATCTTTTCCTACCTTTCAAATTCTTTCAGAAACCAGTAATTCTTACAACAACCTTGTGAGGTAAGTAAGAATGTAGTATTACCTCGTTACTGAAAAGGAAGCTGAGGTTCAGAGCCATAACAAGATTATAAAAACACCTTCCTTACATGCCTCAAGCTTGCTCCTACTCCTGGTTTTATGTTGCAATTCAGGTCCCTACATCTTCTCGGTGTTGTTCTGAATCACTGAGATGAGGTTTAGTACATTACATGAAATTCTAAGGTAAACAACAGCAATAACAATAATTTCCTAATTATATGAACAAATACAAAATATAGGAGCAAACATGGGTTTTATACTTCATGGTCTTCCTAGCCTGTGAATAAACATTCCTCAACTTTGTACTCCAGTCAATTGAAGCCACTCCACTAATGTTACTGTTTAACAGTGCAACTCAGATTTCATGATATTTCTGAATCTATCAATTTCACACACTCAGATACAGAGTTTATCTGCATAATTTAAGATGTTCCTCTTAAAACTGATCTGGAATTCAGAAGAAAGATTTCTTGAAAAATAGTCTTGCTACCCACTGAAATGATTTTACTGCTAAGATGGACAGTCACTAATGAAAATTTTTTATTCAGCAGAATATAATCACTAAAATAAATAATAAAAAATCTATTAAATAAAATATGAAATATTTGCTCAATGAAAAATCTCTGTCTCTGGTAAGACATCTGCATGTGAAAACATCTACCATGAAACAAGATGCCTTACATTCATCAACTTTAAAAGCTCATATGACTAGGAAAATTATTTCAAATTTCCACAATGTTTAAGAATTAGAGCTCGGCTAGGCACAGTGGCTCATGGCCGGGCGCAGTGGCTCATCCCTGTAATCCTAGCACTTTAGGAGGACAAGGTGGGTGGACTGCCTGAGCTCAGGAGTTCTAGACCAACCTAGGCAACATGGCAAAACCCCATCTTAAAAAAAAAAAAAAATAGAATTAGAGCTCTATTTTAAATGTATGTGGTTAAAGTAATAGAAGTCACTTTCCTCATTACTTCCATAATGTGTAAAGTAAGACAATCCTAAGAGTATGCTGTGCAGTTCAATTTACTCCTACATTTTGCATACACAAGAGTTTCCAAACACATTATAAGACAAAACTCTAAATGGAAATCCTTCTGACAAACTGCATATTAAGTAAGCCAAATCCTTCCCTATTTCTGTATGAAACCTTCTTCCTAAGCTTAGAAAACTCAGGTATACTCTAGAAAATCTCAACCATGGTACAATTTATATTTCAAATAAAAAGCAAACATCAATGCTGGTACTGGGAACATGGCACATTAAAGTTGATACCATAAACTAGCAACAATCTCCAGACAGGCTTTCAGATCAGCATTGATGTGATAAAGTTACATTTGCGTAGACGCATATGAATAATCTGAAACGACAGACAAATTTCAGTTTGAAGGTAAGTTTAGAAGACATTTCTTGACATGACATTTATTCTGTCTGACCAGGAAGGAATAATTTTTATAATTCAAGAACAATCACCACAGATTTTCAATTTCTGATCTCCTAACTCATACTTTAAGATGTTTCTCTCATGCTCCTGGAGCTGACAGACAAGCTCTAAGAACATGATACATGGATTCTGCCTCCATTTTATCTGTGCTGAATACTTCTGCCATTCTATTTTATAGAGCTAATTATTTTTACTATCCCTATCTAGCTTTAACTGATACAAATTGGGAATCATTCTCTCCAGATTATTGTAAAAAGTTTAAAATATAGCTTAGCTTTATTCATCATTATTCAAACTGAGTAAGACTTGACAATGTTTCAATTAAAACCCACTGTTTATAAATGTCAGACAAATTAAATTTTTAGGCATGCCTATATCCTGACTCATAACCTAAGAATACAAATTATTTTCTCACTGACCATTTTAATATAATGATATACTTTCAGTTTGTTAGCATGCAAATTCTCCTCTTATAAAAGTCAACATTTATAAGAAAAAAACACTTCTGCCTAATCAACAATACTTTGTTACCTTATTGCATATTGAAATATAATATCTCAAATAGGTTCTCAAGGATGCAAATAAACATTTAACTTAACTAAACATGAAATAAAATAAACGTTTACCACCTTTTACTAGGACTATTACACTTACCTTAAAATTAGTAGTATGAGTCTTACCTTTTTCTGGACTTAAGTTTTTATACACTTCAAGGTCTGCCATTAAATTTAATACTATTACACATTATTGGCAAGAGCAGTAAAATTTCTCTCTAAAGGCAAAGCCTTTTCCTGATACACATCTCCAAAAAAGGTGGGAAAAAAAGGCAAAGAAATCCTTAGCAGCTCCCAGAACTTGGCTCATGCTGCCCTTTATGGCATGATGAGATCTTCACAATTCAGGCTTTACAGTGTGGAGAAAATAAATCCATGAGATATGATTATAGAACTTTGTCCCAAAGTGAAAAGCACAGCCAGATAAGCACACTGGAAGCATCTGCTCCGGGCTGCCGCTATTGTGGGAATGCAGGCGCTGTGGCTACTTTGGGTACGAGACATGCATGCTTCGTGCTGCGCTTTAAAGCCCTCAAGGCATTAGGCACATTTAACGTCTGGGAAGTGTAGGTCTTTAGCCATCAAAGAAACCCTCCTCACCTTCACAGGTCATTGAGAAACAGTGATTACCGTGGGAGTGACGCAGACTGAATACAGAAAATGAACGTGCACACACAGAGACTCAGAAGCACACACAGAAACACACACACTCTCGGAAGCAAACATCAGTCCATTGGAGGCAAACACAATCCATTAAGAAATAAGCTATGACTGCCCTATAGACTACTTTTGTGACAGTCAGGTTAAGCACATATTCAAAGCATGCAAACATAGCAATGATCACAGAAAAGACTGGAATGTTTCCAACTTAGAAGGAATGAGGTTACAGTTTCAAAACACTTACTAGGTGAAAGCTATTTCTCAGGTTTAAAAAAAAAAAAAAATCACATCCCTGTGGATGTGGACAAAGTAAATAGTATGAATGAGTCTAAAAAAAGTCAGTTTTTAGTGAATGAACCAGCATATTATTATAGTGCAATTTTCCCTAAAGTCTATGTAAGCATTATTTGCAACTTTATTAAACTTCTTTGAAGAGATAGGTAGACAGACACATGAGCAGATATATTTCATAAGCAATTCACAGTAGTCTTGCACTTAAGCATTATAACTAAGCCTCTCATCCTGAGTATTAACTCTCTTACTCCAGGATTCCCTTTCTAATATCAACCCTATTGCCATTTTCTTCTTCCCGGCTGCAGTTGGCCCTCACCCACCTGTGGCCCTCAGGACTCCCAGGATCTCCCATTCTGCATATAATTGCCTTTAGGCAATTCCCACCAGGGCCATCCAGCCTAGATTGCTAACTCACCTCTAGATTCCAAGGTGCTAAGCTCCAGGTCCAAGTCACCTGTTTCCCAATTTGCATACCACGCTATTTACTTTTAAATACTCTATGGAAACTTGGATTTCAAAGGTATATATAGGCACACACAATTAAATACATGATGAGAATATCCTTCTTGCAAGATTGAATCTGACATACATACATACATGACTATATAAAATAACTGTTAAGAGTTTAGAAGCCTATCTGCCTAGGTTCAAAGCCTGACTCTGCCACCAACTAGCTGTGTGACTTTGGGCAATTTACTTAAATTATCTGCTCCTCCATTTCCTTATTTGTACAGTGGGCATAATAATAGTTTCTACTTCAAAATGTTATTGCAATAAATAATTTAACATAAAGTGCTTAGAATCACAATTGCGTATTGTTATTACTATTATTAGTCTTGAAATTCTTTACATCAACACAGACAAGGAGTGAATTTCATTGCTTAATCTGAATTAATCAGTAGTCCGAACACAAGATGGCACCCCAAAATGTGAGATATCTCAGAAATACCCATTCCTGCTAAATAATTCAAATATTTAATATTTCCAGATAATTTTATACAAAAAGATAATGGTGATGGTGTTTTTCTAACACAAAAGTAGTAACACCAAGTAATGAATGTCTAGTTCCTTTGGCTGCTCAGAACCAAAGATGCCCAAAAAGCAAAAGGCATCTTGGGTTTATCTCCTGATCAATCCTGAAAAGAGGTGAGGACCAAAGTACTTCCAACTCCCAAGAAGCTTTGGAAAGAAGGCTTTCCAAAGATCCGCCCACTCCAATCTGGGGTCAAGAATGGAAGGGAAAAAACTTTTTATTTGCTCACTTTACCCACCGGGAGTCTTGCTCATAATAAGTTCTTCAACCCTCTCACCTCTTGCTCCTGAAGCCCCAGGTCCCTCTCTGAAAAGGCTGGCATGCAAGATTGGATATGGAGCCCAACCACACAAGCACATGATGGGTTTATCCTGAGTGGCTCTGGGGCATCTTTGGGGGCCAAGCCACTCACCCAGGGAGACCACATAGCAACTTCATAGGGCAGGTGGGCAAGCTTTTAAAAAGCAATCATGGCCCATAAGTGGGTGTTTGACCACCAAGGAGCACTCGCAGATTTTTGAGAGCCTAGAAATATCTACATCTTATTAGACATCCAATTCTTCAGCAGTAGCAAATAACCTCCTATGCAGCCCATTCAAAAGAATCATAAAACTTAAACACCTATCCTGAGGTTGGCAGAGACACTGAATGAATATCCACATCTCTGAAATCACTCCCCTGTATTCTCCCAACAGAAGGTTATGTACAATGCCAAAACTAGGCCAACAGACTTTGGGGACAATGGTGCTTCTTCTGATGGGTCACCTCAACAACCCTACAGCCTTAGAATCTTTAATTTCTTAACTGAAACCCTCATTTGAAAGTTTGGGCCTTTTCCAGATTCATTCTAGCACAGTACTTGGCATACAGTAGGTACCTTATAGACCCTCATCAGCTTTCTCCAGTTTTAATCATTAGACCAAACATGGAATTACCTTCACCAATCAAGTGAAAAATTAAAAACAGTATCTCTGAGTTCACTGAGTTCAGCTTCTAAATTTACAATCAGTGAAGACTTTACACCTCATCTGACAGCATTTTCCTCATCTTTCACACTTGAGTTCTACTTCTGATCTCTTAAAGAAAACATCATAAAGTAATAGGTAAAAGCAATGGTTTCCACGGAAGATGGAGAAAGATTTAAGCCCCAGCCTTTTCCTTTAATCACTGCATGGCCTTGGGTCAGCCTTTCCTTTAATCACTGCATGGCCCCATAGGTAGGGTTGTCAGATGAAAGAGGACAGCCAGTTAAATTTGGATTTCAGAGAAACAACAAATAATTTTCAGTATAAGTACGTCCCATGAAATATTCCTGTATTTTTACTTGTTAAATCTGACAACACTAAGTGGTGGTGGGAGGAGGACTAGTGCTCTCTAAACCTCTAAGCCTAAATATCCTCACCCAGAGATGGCAGTGAAGATATTTAGGCTTAAAGGTTTGGCCTAGGGGTTTGGCCTAAGGTTAAATGAGTGATAGAGGCCAAGGGCCTAGCCACTGGGGCTGCCCCAGTGGCTGGAAAAATACATCCTCAGTAAATAGAAGCTAATGCAGTAAAAATGGCCACTCCAATCACTGACTTGATATAACATCACTTAACCAAATCTCATGTTTAAAATGTTCTACACAACACTCTCCTCTCACCACAACACTCCTCTACACAACACTCCAACCTCACCAGTCATATAATTCTAAACTGAGACAAACTCAGAGTGAAAACATGGAGCATATCTGCCCCTAGGGCTCACAAGTCCAATCTGAAAACCTACTGACACAAACACAGGAACCATGTCACTTAATGAAACATTATTATAAAAGGTACCATTTACCAAACACCACTACACAAACATTATCTTCCCTTATTTTCAGAAAATTCTGCAAGGAGATATATTCATATCCATATTTTAAAGGTAAGAAAACTGAGATTCAAGTCTGACAAGATGTCTGAGATCACACAGCGGTGATCAACCAGAATTCAAACCCAAGCTGATTCCAGATTTGGGCCCTTTCCCCTGGCTCTGTGTGTTAGGTCCTGGAAACCATGTATAAGGTTTTAGGCCTGATATTGAAATTCCTCATGTTTTTTCCCAGCTAGAAAATATTCCCACACAATGCCAGAAGCTGTTAGTGTCTCTGGCATAGAAACACAGAAACACTTAAAAAAAAATAGTCTGTAAAGCCATAGTACCACATTACCTTAAAACATATTCACAGTTTTCATCACAAAACGTAAAGCAGGGCAAAAGCGAGTGTAGGGTGCAGGTTCACCATTGAGAGCTTCCAGTCACACCCAGCTACCCCTTCCTAAGGTCTATCCTACATACAGGTACCTCAATGAGGGGAGGATTTCACAGGAACTTTCATACTGTGCTGTTAAGTTGTACATTGAGAGCATAAACTGTAACAAACTTCATGAAAAGTCATCAGGCAAGATGCAGCAAGATTTGTAAAAATGGTTATGCTATTTATGCTGGAAAACTACCATAAGGAAATCATCAGAAACATAAAAATCCATATAAAAGGATGTATCCTTTCCTTAACATTTGTTCAAATCAACTGTCTAATTGCCTACCAAACAGGGAATGATTGACTTAAATATACATTCACATTTTGGAATACTGTCTAACCATTAACGATGTCTGTAAGGCATTGCATTTACCTAGAGAATGTTTGACATACTAAGTGAAAAAAGGAGGATACAAACTACTCAATGTTATTTTAATTATGTAAAATACATGTGTATAGACACATAGAATAAATCCAATAAAAATATATGAAAAAATGTTATCAGAGGTTATCCATGGCTATCTCTAGGCGTTTTTATTTTCTTCTGAATATGTTACTATATGTTGATTGTTTTAGAACCAGCATTTATTCATTTTCTACTCAGAAAAAAAAACATTGTTTTTAAAAAGTGTAGTCAGTTTAGTAACACTGAACTTGGAAAAAGAATATAATCCCTAGGCTGGGCGCTCGCTATGGCTCGTGCCTGTAATCCCAGCACTTTGGGAGACCAGGAATGGGGGATCATGAGGTCAAGGGATAGAGACCAGCCTGGCCAACATGGTGAAACCCTGTCTCCACTAAAAATACAAAAATTAGCTGGGTGTGGTGGCATATGCCTGTAGTCTCAGCTACTCAGGAGGCAGAGGCAGGAGAATTGCTTGAACACAGGAGGTGGAGGTTGCAGTGAGCCGAGATTCCGCCACTACACTCCAGCCTGGTGACAGAGCGAGACTCTGTCTCCAAAAAAAAAAAATATATAACCCAAGAACAGAAAGCCATGCACCGTATGTTCTCACTCATAGGTGGGTATTGAACAACGAGAACAGGTGGACTCAGGGAGAGGAGCATCACACACAGGAGACAGTTGGGGGTGGGGAGGGAGGGAAGGGTAGGGAGAAATAACATGGGGAGAAATGCCAGATACAGTATACACCTAAAGTAAAATAAATTAATTACTTTTAAAAAAAGAATATAATTCCTTCTCACTGGTATAATGATGGAGAACTTTCTTTGAGGCTTACTTTGAAGCACTTTACGATGTTCCAGATACTGTTCCTAGCATTGCACATGCCTTATTTAATCCTTATAATGTCCCTTTGATAAATTAGATACAATCATTTCTCTAGTTTCAAACGTGGAACCTGAGGCAAAAAGCAGTTAAGTAACTTTCCCACAATGGCACAGCAAGTCTGTGATAGATATGGGCTTTGAATCTATCACAGAATGTCTCTAGAATCAGTGATCTTCACCAAGATGATAAGGTAATATGGAGATTTTGAGTCACTGATTTCCTTCGGTCTCTATTTTTTTCATCTGAATGTCTCACAGAACAATCAACAGAGCAATCAGAACTTAATTCCTTGTAGAAAATTTCACTGTGCACTCAACTACAAAGGAAACCCAGAATCATCACTAAGAGTAACATATCAAAATCACCAGTGTAGCTACGCAAACACATGAAACCTCAACAAGAATTTTCCAATTACGTACAACACCAAAGAGCTAGATGCAGGGAAACTCCCAAGTGGACAGTCCAGGGACATGCTCCCAGGATGAGTTAGCAGATTTCCTTCCCGTAAAATATGGGTTTTGTTTTTTTTTTTTACTACCACTGAGGCATTGTCCTCTCTGAGCCCTGCTTAGACTTGAGCTGTTCCAGAGCATTCTGGAGACAATGGGCACTAATCTTTCATCAAAATCCCTTGACCCCTCAGCCATCCTTACTCAACTAGTTGTCCTGAGCAATATCTGGCTCTGAAGCAGAGGGCAGCACTATCCATTATTTGGCCTGTGCAAATCACAGAAACAAAAAATGAACTAACCAAAGGGTTAGTTAGACTTTAGCCTCTGAGAGTCTGTTAATAATCTATGGGATAGACTGGAAATAATACTTTCACTTTTTATTTACAATGGACTCAACTTACTAAAGATGTAGTCATTGCAAACTTGGAGTTAAATGAATGAGAGAAGATGGAGATCATTTATCAATTCAAACAAAACCAGCATAGTTCATGCCTATGACCTATTCATCATCAGTATATTTGAAGCAGTTGCCATTACATGAAGCTCAGAAACACCCAGAAAATTGCTGCAACTTTTACAATAAACCCCAAGGAACAAAATGGAATGTTACTCTGAGCTCACATACAAAGGAAAAGGCACTTCACAAACAAAAGTGTATGCAATGTACCTAAATGTTCAATAATGGTAATAGTTATCTCATGACTCCTGTTTGATGCTTTATAAACTTTACCCCTTACGAAGTCCTCTAGAAACACATACTCCACAGGAACCTGACAGCAACTACAGGAAGGCTGAGAGGCAGTATTATCATTCTGTATTCACAAATGAGGAAGCGGAGCCTCCACAGCTCCCCATGACTTCCCCAAGATCATAAAACTAGTCAGTGGAGAAACTGGGCTTTCTAATGCAAACACAGTGCCCTTTCCCCAAATCAGGCAAACATGCTTAAAATATGATTGTCAGCAAGAATTGCTAGACAACAGGACAACAGAGTATAACCAAACACTTAAATTGCAAACCCAGTGTACTACAAAAATTTAAGCTGAGAACAGACGAAGACCTGTAGGGGTACAGGTTTCCATCCAACGCTTGCTAAATAAATGCTGGGAATAGCCAATACAAGGGTTTTACTCAGAGAGCCGGCTTACTGTCACTGGAGAGATATAACTCTACATTCTAATGAGACAGAACATGTCCTATAGATTACACACTCTTGTCAAATAAACCAGTTTGGACACTTCCTACATTAAAAACCTGACATGCATCAGTGGACAGTAATTGCGACACATTTTTAAGCATCTGAATCCCAGAACAAACTGAGTATAACCCATATTCAGTTTTGCTATGTTCCACAGAACAGAGATGAGCCACTCATTAGCCTGACTGCCTCTTTGCTGCCTCGTTGATGACTTATTGATCTCCCCTTCAAGACTCTTGGCTTTAAAATAAAATTTTTTCATTATTTTTTGAAAGACTTGATTGTTTATTGGTCATGCCATTTTAAATTTTATAGATTAGCATACAAATTTATAGGCACATCATTGTCAGCTTGATGAAGATGTCAATATAATTCAAAATAAAATCTTTGAGCCAGGCATGGTGGCTCACGCTTGTAATCCTAGCACTTTGGGAGGCTGAGGTGGGTGGATCACCTGAGGTCAGGAGTTCAAGACCAGCCTGGCCATCCTGGTGAAACCCCATCTTAAAATAAAATATTTGGTATGCTCAGAACTTGATTTCAACTTGAGCAATCCATGAAAATAACCAAGACCTTATGGGCAAGATTTTACTCACAGGTGCTGTAAGAAACCCAGGGGTCTGCAGCTGGGGAACACGAAAGCACACTGAACTATCTTTGGTAATGACTCAGAAAATGTAAAATTCTGATTGACATTTGGGTTCCATGAACTCATACCGAGATATAAATAAAAGTTCCTAGACTTTGTAAAGCAGCATCAACTATTGGAGTAGCTACCATCAGCGGTGATCAGTGTTAATTATAACATTAACAGAGAATTAACTAGAGATAGGTAGTCACGTGGGAATCTCTAATGGTCATTGACAGTGTCATATATTAAAACATGTATCTATCCTGAGGACTGAAGCTTTAATTGAATTCTCAAAACTTAAGTAGCCATATATTCAAACCCCGTCCCCGCCACAATACTCGGAATGCACTTTCTCCAGAACAGAACCTTTTACTTCCTCCCTTGGGAAGTGGGGCTGGATGACTACAGTGGAAATGTCCAGAATAAATCCTAAGTGCTTATATTCTCCAACACTCCAGCTAAAGGAGGATTGTTTGGTTGTATAATAACCGCAGTTGGACATAAATGACATCTTAATAATATTTTACCATGCCTTAATCTGCCATCTCTGCATGGCCTGACTTACAGCCAATCGAATAGGGATTAACTACATACATTCAAGTAGTTTCAAATAGGAGATACTCATGGTCATCATAATGCAAACCCCCTACTCCCTTATCCAATCATACTGAATCCTGGAACGGTACATATACAGACTGGTCCCATAAGATATGTAAACACAGAGATAACCATAAAGTGGGGGCAGGGAAGAGAGGAGAAATGATTCTAGATTATTGAACACCCTCCTCCCTTAACAAAGCTCTTCTGAGTACAAGGGGAACTGAAAGCCACTCAGGCCCCCTGAACACAAAGTCAATAACCACAAAAATTCAAGCCAGAGATAACAGCCACATCTCTGGGAAGTCTCTCCAGGCCACCCAAAACCAAGGCCCGACTAAAGAGAGTTCAACCTTCGAGGCTGCTTCAGAACCACCAAGTCACTTCAACCCCAGCAGACTTCAGGGTTGTTTGCTCTGCACAATTGACCAGAGACACCCCTGAGAATAGGAAACAGGTCTCTAAGGGAGTGGGATGGCCATAAACTCCTGAAGGACTGGAAGGGAGATGCCTCCTCTGAAAATCTAATCTTGTAATGCCTGAGGGAAGGAAGACATTTTATTAATGAAACATGATCTTTAGGGAAAGGTGCCCTTAAGTGAGGCAGGGAGACCTCACTCCTCTTTCTAAAAGAAAACCAAGAAAAAAAGATTGTACTGGCTCCTCTGGTAACAATTTTCAATATGTCACAGTTCACAGTACTATCCCAACAGTCTGAATTCCTAAATTGCTCTACAGAAATGAAAAATCAACTCCTTTGCCACTCCCTTGATGAAAAAGAAAGGAGCTCTTCTCCACAATTTCAGCAGTACAATTCTACACATACCAATACTTTTTGCAGCGTCTCCTCACCTTTTTAGCCTTTCTCCTGATTTTATATTCCCCCAAACGTCTTGATATATTAATTTTGTGTTCTGCCTATGACATCGTAACCGAAAAATAAACACAGCAATAAGGAGGATCATTATTTGAAAGCTAGAACAATGATGTCCCTCCAGGGCCTAGAACAGACCAGAAGAGTAGTGAGTACCAGGAAGGTCTGAGCACAAAGAGACCCACCCAGACCTAAACTCAGATTCTGGATAGTTTTCCAA